GTGATACACACTGAGGGCTGCGTGATACACACTGAGGGCTGCGTGATGCACACTGCGGGCTGCGTGGTGCACACTGCGGGCTGTGTAGATGTCTTTCTCAAAGACCTGAGACCATGTGCTGCAGCAGAGACAGTTTAGAGGTCTTTGAGTCACCAATACTGACATCTCTCGCCTCCAAACCTTCCCCTGTGCTTCGTCATTAAACCCCAGAGCAGGACACCAGGACCTCACACTTTAGGATGGAGGCAGGCGAGGCCATGCTGCGTTGAGTTGTGTGGGTAGTCGGACCCAGACAAGAATTTAATCTAGACTAGTAATGGAAACCGAAAGTTACGTATGTAACTACGGTTCTAAGAATCCCGGATGACTGCCAGAGGGCGGTGCTGAAAGCACTGAATGTTCCCTTCGCGCATGCGCTGTTTGACTAATAATACCAACGAAGTCACAGGTGTGACACGGATGACCAATCAGAGGCTATATAGCCCGACGTCATCCGCAGCTCTGCTCCTACAGAATCTTCTCGCGGAACGCAAGGATTCTGAGTGACAGAGAAGCTCTGGCGGTCATCCGGGATTCATAGAACCATAGTTACATACGTAACTTTTGTTCTATTTCATCCCTCCTGACCGCCAGAGGGTGGTGCTGAAAGCACTGAATGACTGATACCAACGATGTCACAAGAAATCCTTAACACCCACCTCACTGAGGAGGCCCAGAGGACCCTTGTAGACCCCTGGCCCAGGGGATGAGGGGTGGCCACGTTAACTCTATAAAATCTGGTGAATGTGCTTGGGGAAGCCCATGATGCAGCAGCACATATTGCTTCCAGCGGAACCCCTCTCAGGGCAGCCAAGAAAGCGGAGATGCTCCTGGTAGAGTGAGCCTTCAAGCCGACCGGCAGGGGGCCAGGCCCTGCAGCATAGACGTGGCAGATGACGTCCACGATCCAGTGGGAGAGGCGCTGTTTGGAAAGAGGACAGCCTAACCTATGGCCTCCATAACACACAAACAGCTGGTCTGAATGTCTTATCACAGTAGTAGCTGCAACGTATGCCTCCAGTGCCCTCACCGGGCACAATAATCCAGACCCCTCACCAGGCGTAGGCTGAAAACGTGCCAGCCTCAACGGTTAGTTACAGTGAGAGTGAGATAACACCTTTGGTACAAATGCAGTGTTTGGCCACAAGGTAACACACGAGCCCTCAAGGCCCCACCAGAGACATGAGGGGCTGACTGAGAGAGCATGTAGCTCGCTGACCCTCTTTGCTGAGGCAATAGCCAACAATAAAGCCGTCTTGCATGAAAGCCACTTGAGGTCCGCCTGCGTCAGAGGCTCGAAAGGAGGATGGCACAGAGCTTCGAGAACCAAGGGCAGGTCCCAACCTGGTGCTCGTGGAGCTGTCGGCGGGTGTGACCTACGGGCACCACGCAGAAGAAGAGAGACTAGATTATGGCTCCCTACCATACAGCCATCAATGCCAGCGTGATTAGATGATATTGCCGCTACATAAACTTTAAGCGTCGAAGGAGAGCGACCCTTACCAAGTAGAGACTGGAGAAACTCCAGAATGGTGGGTACTGTACAGGAGACTGGATCCTTATTGTGAACAGAACACCATTGGGAAAACGGACGCCACCTGTTTTCGTACTGCTGACGAATGGAGGGTGCCCTGGCGCCCAGGATGGTGCATCTGACGGGGCTCGAAACTCCAAGTCAGCTGCTGTCCTAGCCTTGCAGTGGCCACACCCACAGCCGAAAACATTGAGGATTGGGGTGCCATATCAGTCCCCCCAACTGAGACAGCAAGTCCCTCCTGGTCAGAAGACACCATGGGACGCCCTGACATAGACTTCGTAGCAGTGGGAACCATGGTCGCGCTGGCCAATACAGAGCCACCGGCAGCATCCTGTGGCCCTCCTCGAGGACTCTCTGAAGGGTTGGACAAATTAGAGAAAGGGGTGGCCAAGGATGAGCCAATGCATCCTGGCCCAGCGCACCCGACGCCCCCGTAAGAGAGTACCATAGGGGACACCGAGTCGACTCTTCCGTCGCAAACAGGTCTATCTCTGCCTGACCAAAACTGTCCCAGATCATCAGTACTATGTCGCTGTGGAGGGACCACTCTCCTGGAGGGGACCCTTGGCGGGAGAGAAAATCTGCGACCTGATTGTGTCGCCCTGGTAAGTACGCTGCCCGCAGGGTGGACAGGCGAGGAGAGGCCCATTCTAGGAGCTCTCTGGACACTCTCAGAAGTTGTGCTGACCTGGTGCCCCCCTGATGATGGTTGATGTGGTAGACAACAGAGGTGTTGTCTGACCGAACAAGAACATGCCTCCCTTCCAGGTGAAGCAGGAAGGGCCTGAGTGCCAAGTGCACTGCATGCAGCTCCAGCACATTTATAAGCTTGGAGTGGTCCCTTTGATCCCAGCGGCCCTGAACCGCTCTGCGTTGCCACACAGCCCCCCATCCCATGGAGCTGGCATCTGTCGTGACCACTTCCCTGCGACACACTACCACTCCCATGGGGACACCCCTGGACAAATAATCTTCGTCCCTCTTTGGAGTCAAGGCATGAAGACATGACCACGTCACTGCAAGCTTGCGATGCCTGTGCAGCCTGGCATCCAGGCGAAAGCTGTTGAGCCACCTCTGCAAGGGGCAAAGTGACAGCAGGCCTAAGGGCACCACCCGAGTGACTGATGTCAGCTTGCCAAGTAGTTGTAGGAAGGCAACATAGGGGAGCTGCCTGAACCGACTGACCGGCTGGAGTATGCCGGACACCCTTTGAGCGGATGGGCGAGCTCTCATGGAAGATGAATCCAGAACCACCCCAAGAAAGGTGGTCGTCTGGGAAGGGATCAGGCAGCTCTTCTCCAGGTTGACATTGAGGCCCAACTGGGACATATGAGCGAGCAGGCGGTTTGTGTCGTGAAAGGCACAGGCCTGAGACGGGGTGCAGAGAAGCCAATCTTCTAAGTACGGCAGAATCTTCACTCTGCAGGCCTGCAGAGGAGAGAGGGCTGCCTTCACGCACCGAGTGAACACCCTCGGGGAGAGAAAGAGCCCGAATGGGAGTACCCGGAACTGCCAGTGGTGACCCCGATAGGCAAACCTGAGAAAGCGGTGATGTTCTGCCGCAATAGGCACATGAAAATATGCATCCTTCAGGTCTACAGACGTGAACCATTCTTACCTCATGACAGCTTGAAGGACTTCTGCTGTCGTGAGCATGTGGAAGGGCAGCTCCCTTAGGTACTGGTTGAGTCCCCTCATGTCTAAAATGGGACGAAACCCGCCCGTCCTCTTTTGCACAAGGAAGTAAGTTGAGTAATAGCCCCTTGGGTTGTTGCAGAGGGTCCACTGCCTCTATTGCGCCCTTGGCCAGGAGGGCGGAAAGTTCCTGGTCTAGTGCTCGAGCTTTCACCGGGTCGGCGATTACAGTCATCTTGACCCGGCATGAGATATGAGGCTGCCGTCGGAACTGTAGCTGGTGATTAGCCAATTTATAAATATGGGGAAAATCCATAAATAAGTTGCTTCGGCGTATAAGTAGTAAGGCATGTAAATTATGCTAAAAACTGCGACTTATGGGGTGAAAAGTATGGTATTTGGACTTAATGTTGAAACAACTTACCGTCAGAGCTTTTTTTTTCCTCTTCATCCCCTGCATTATGCTAAACTGATAAAGGGAGCTTGCTGTAGCAACATAAATCATGATTCTCTGACCGAAGCTGCTGCTGTCTGCTAACAAACACTGACTGACGATAATTCATCCACAGAAAATCTCCTGCGAGTGCTGACGACCCATCCCACGTATCAGAAAGTGGTGAACGAGTACCTGCAGCTGGAGGAGGCGGGCTCTCAGCTGTCACTCAACACTCTGCCCAATGGGAAGGCAGGGAACAACGGACTCGTTCACAACGGATCCTTTCAGCACAGCAAGCGTGACTGAGAACGTTTCCAGAAACTCATCGCACTTTTTTTTTTCTCATCTTGTGGAACTAAAATTCACAAAGGGTCTACTGTTTTTTAAACATTTTATGAAGATCTTTGTATTTTTAAGTGTAGCATCACTTGCACAGATGTGAATGTTTCTGATGTCAGGATCAAATAATGCCACAAAGCCTCTGGAGTTTTATTTGTTCCTAAAGGGATGAATGACGTGCCCTTTTAATTCTTCTGCATTTTGTGTGTGTGTGTGTGTGTGTGTGTGTGTGTGTGTGTGTGTGTGTGTTTGTGCGTACTAAACAATGCAAGTCTTTATTCGATGTAAATAATTAAGATTTTATGTTGTTTATTTTGACAATAAAAAGCTGTTTAAAAACAAGTTTTTAGTATTTTGTGGATTTGTTGGTTTTCTGCTTTCCATTCCCGCACATCTTGGCCGGACTGCCCTCGAGCTTCTCCTGTCCGGTCTCCACTCTTAATTTAGCTGCTTTGGTCTCACTTGGGCCCTTGTCCCTCTTGTTGGTGTGGTGTTTCTCTGTTGGACCCTCGGAGCCGACCTGTCCTGCTCCCTCTCTCCGAGCTGCCTGCTCTGGTTTTGGTGGTTTGATCGCAGGTCGGTTCTTTTTAGGTTTAGAAACTTTTGACTTCAGATCTTTGGGTCTGGTTTCCAGGCTTTGTTGCAAAGTCTCTTGGCTCCACTTGGTGTCCATAGCAACAGCCAATTCCAGACATTTCTCAGTTTTCCCGCAGGTGGACTTCAGTTTTTTTAAATGTTGCTTGGGCTTGCATCTGTCCTCTGCCTGTGAACCTCCTGAAGCTTTTCGTCCACCTCCTTCAACACTCTGGTCTTTTTTTGGCTGAATTAGAGATGAGGTGTTTCCAGAACCCTTGGACCTCTCTGCGGTAGATTTCTTGGAGACCCTCTCGCTGCCCTCTCCTCCTGCTTTTCTTTTTAATGGACTTGGAACGAGCACAGACATAGGTTCACTTGCAGTTTCCGGTTCTCTCTTTGAGTTGTGGCCCCTCGCTTTAGGTGAATTTACTTTCCTCTCGGTGACCGTACTCTTTGGATTTGATTTCACAACTTTAGGGGTTTGGCTCTCTACTTTACTTTGTGTTGCCATCAAAATGGCTGACATTTCTTTGAAAAAACCGAGGGGTTTACCTCCTTTACATTTAGTCTTTTTCAGATGATGATCCTTGCTTTCTGCTTGCACCAGTCTTCTTCCTGACGGCTGTCTGTTCTGCTTTTTGTCATTTCTTGAGTTACTCTTTGGGATGAGATCATCCATTCTCCACATGTTGTCTTCAGTTTGATTCCTCTCTGGTCTTACGATCTCATATCTATCTATTTTGGTACTTTGACCTGGCAGACTTTGACAACGTCTGATCGTCATGCAGATCTTTGGATTTGTTTCACGCTCTGTGTTGTCCACCTGCTTCCTGATCAGTCCTAATGGCACTTCTCTGTCTGTGAAAGTTTGCTGGTTCTTTTTTGTTTTTTTGGTACATTCAGCGAAACTTCTCGCACGCCGCTGTCGCCGATCATCCTTTGCAGTCGTAAGCTCAATGGGAACAGCATCTTGCTGTTCTGGTTCATCGTCAGAAAGGGCTATGAGATCTTGGAAGTAGCAGTATGGAGAAATGGCGTTGCCGTACCCTTCACATGATGGAGACACGCTGTTCATCAAATCATCTTGTCTCTCAAGAAGGTGTGATGGCAGGAGCGGAGAAATGGTGCATGGATTGTTCTCTGATCTGACGACGTCCGGTGAATCCTCTCTGGTTTGCTGTAAATTTGGGTCCGAGTTTAGGAACCAAAGATTTCCATCATCATAAGAGGAGTTCTCTTCAGTGAAAGAGTTGTTCAAGAAGGAATGTGGCTGGAGATGTGTCCAGACTGTCTGTAGAAAGAGAAATATGACTTAAATCAATCTTTAAGTTTGGAGCTTTGTAAGTTATAAACCATATTGCACAGGTTGTAAATGGCTCTTCCAGTGAGCTCAGTTTAATGTCTTGTCTGTGGGGTGCCGTTTGTAAGGTTACACAGTCAAAAATTAACAGTAATATTTTTGTTTATTTAGCCATTCATAAGAAAAAAAAACTTTTTTCAGGGTCATATTTTCATGTTGTTCATAATTTATAAATGTAATAGTTCCAAATTAAATATTTAATTTACAAGCTAAATATTTAATTTATAAACTAAATGTTTGTCCAAGCTAAATGTTTAATTTACAAACTAAATATTTAACTTGCAAGTTTAAATATTAGCTAATTTATTTTGGAAACTAAATGTTTACTTTTGGAAAATATTTAGGTCTGAGCTTAATATTTAGTTAGCAAATTAAATATTTATTTTAGGAATTAAATGTGTAACTTATAAATTAAATGTTTAGTTTTGAAAATAAGCATTTAGCTTGGAAATTATACATTTCATTTACAAGTTAAATATTTTGTTTATAAACTAAATATTTAACTTGCAAGTTTAAAATTTTAGTTTGTAAATTAAACATTTAGCTTGGACATAAACATTTAGTTTATAAACAAAATATTTAGCATGGAGCTAAAAATTTGGCTTGCTAACTAAATATTTAATTTGCAAGTTAAGTATTTAGTTTATAAACTAAATATTTAACTTGTAAATAAAATATTTAGTTTGGAACTATGACATTTATAAATGTATGAATAACATGGTGAAAATATGACTTTGTAAAAAAAAAAAAAAAAAAAAACTTTTTTTCTTATGATAGGCTAAATAAACCAAAAAATATTGCTGTTAATTTTTGATCGTGTAACTTTACAAACGGCACCCCATACTTGTCCACACCAATATCTTATGTGTTTGTCAAAGTATCCTTGTAAACGCCGCAGCATTTCTACAAATGTTTTCATCCACAAGGACACTGTAAATCGTCCAAAACGATTTAACTATGCCAGACCCTGTGTGGCACCGCAACACTGTCACAAAAATAAAAACGAGGCTTGAAGAATACACAGAACAATTGCATGCCGAGTTTGAAATGTAAACACAGGAGATAGTTTTCACTGGTGGTATGGATGAATCAGAGCTGGAGCTGTGATCTCATTTTATAAGTTGTTTTGGCCGAATGCTTGAAATTGTAAGGAAGGTGTTTCAAGCCTTTTACACTCTAAAAGCAGTTTAATAAGAGATATATATAGTGTTACTTCTAAAACACTGTTTCTATGTGAAACTTATATAAAGTACCTGTGTATTTCATACAAATACAAATATTGGAAAGAAACATCTTAAGAAGTTCAGCAGGATATTTACCATTTTCTTACACAACCAAATTTTTTTTTTTTACTTGGCATGGCCAAAGTGATAACAAAGGGGAACTCCCTGGTCTTAAGTCTCATTCACAAGACATCTGGACTGAGGTGCAGACTGTTCTGACCATCTCGGTCCATTCAGATGATGGGCGGAGGCGGCAAGGGGGTCAGAGTCGGCCTACCTCTCATGCTCCTCTGTGCATTGAGCGAGATAACCATGGAGCCGAGCTGGCCGACATAAGAACAAAATAAAAAAAATAGATCTGTGGCGCTGCAGCTAAGTAATGTGATGAACTGCTATTAGTTGGGTCCACCGCTCTTGAGATTAAATTAATTCAACCTTTATGTATACAGATAAATCACATTGAGCCTTGAAGACTCATTTACAAGTGAGACCTGAGCAGCTAACTGTAGCTTTTCCGCAGGATTATGGTATTTTCCAGCAGATGCATCATAATCCTGCGAAAAAGTTACTGACGGCTAAAGCTATAAAAAAGCTATAAAAGCTAAATAACAGCAAACAGATTTATTACTGAGGGAATATTGATGAATGTGAAGGTGAAAATGTAAAAAATAAAAATAGTTTGCATAACAAAGCTCCTCCCTGTGTGGACGGCCCGTCATTCTGACCAGATTAACGAGCTTGCGGCTAGTCTGAGTTGGGCAATACCAAAGTGGGTTACTCCTGCCCTCAAATGCCTTTTCTTAAAATTATTTCATAGCTTAATCCAATCATTTATAAATATTTACACTGTTAGCATCTTCATACTCCACAGTATTTTCCAGCAGAATTATCATAATCCTGTGAAAAAGCTACAGCTGCTGCTCTTATTTCCTGTTGTAAATGGCTGTGCATGAAAATGTGATTGTGAAGAGGAAGTGGAAACAGGTGAGTGCTTTAAGGAGTTTTTACTGCGGGTTAGTGAGCTCAGTTTTACATCTGGTTTCACCATTAACCAAAGCAGCTTTACTGACCAATTTATTTAGATTCCTCTAAAACCCCAATTCCAAAAAGTTCAGACTTGGTGTGAAAGACAAATAAAATATGATAATTTGCAAAACGGAGGCAACTCTGGATTTGAAAGCAACGCAACTCGGACACTGAGACGGGGCTAACAAAAGGTTGTAAAAGCGGATCAATCTAGAAACAATTGGAGCATTTTACCATTTATATTAACTGGCAACAGGCCACTAAGAGGACTGGGAATAAAGGGAATCCTTTTACAGAAACTGAATCTGCCAGAAGTAAAGATGGGCGGAGGTTCAGTGCAAAGCTGCATCTGAAAACGGTGAAACAATTTCAGAATATGGAACGTTCTGTTTGTGCACAAAGGACAAAGCTGAAAGTCAATATTGGATGGCTGTGATCTTTGGACCATCAGAGGCTGCTGCATTAGAAACTGGTTCTGTTCTGGACCTCACTGCATGGCTTCAGGAACATCTCCACAACTCATTAATAGAACTTGCTTCATTCTATAAATGCTGGTTGAAGCTCTATCGATCTAAAAAAAAAAAACAGCCATCTTCTCTGAGCCAAAGCTCAAATAAAACGGACTGAGGCAAAGTGGAAACTGTTCTGTGGTCAGATTAATGGAAATGCGAACATTTTCACATCCGTATTAAAAATAAGTTCTTTTATGAGTGGACAGTTAAAAGCCTGCCTCTCTGATGGTATATGGGTGCATTAATGCTCTTCTGGATTGGCAGCATTCAAATCTAGAGAGGCACTGTCGGAGCACAAAAAATATTTAGAACAAATACTCTCTTTTTCAGAACAGATCTCAGCTAGATGTCTCTAAACCTCATAGTGTCTCCATTAATACGTTGTAGTAAAGTCCAGGTGCTTGATGGACCTACA